TGAAAAAATCATATGAAATAACACATTATGTAAAAGTTCTCAATATTATCACAGTTTCATGGATTCTCAAAAGAAGACCCTCATGTATGGATAGGATAACAATTTGGGAAAATTGGCTCAAATAACCATTTCACACATCCAAATTGGTTTTTTAACCATTTCTCTCACGGGTTGACCCAAATGTCACTACTTTCACAATATATTGCGGACCTAGCTAAAAGATAAAAAAAAAATCAAATTCAGTTTATTGTTGCAATTGCAGACTTGGTCGTCGCAATTACATATTTGTGTATTACGAATCTGGATATTGCTTAAGCAGTGTTGGATCAACCTGAGAGAGAAATGGTTCGAATACTACTTTGGATGCCCAAAATTACATTATACGTCTCTAAAATCGAATAATTACAAAAAATATTCTTATGGTTTACATTTTCTCACGTCGTGGTCGCTCCGAGCCATATCCTTGCCACCAACTCCATTTAATAACTTTCGGTAAGTGAGGGGGCAATTTTGTCATTCTTACCCTTTTTTTTGGTCTTTTCCCTTTAAAAGTAAATAGAAAGTGATAAACGATTGTTAACAGAAAGTTTATATGTGAATCATTTAAAAGTCCGAAAAAAAAAACTAATTGAAAATGGGTATATAAACGGACATTACACGTTATGTATATGAGTTTATATATGCATCTTCAAATGATTTTTTCAATAATTGAGTCATATATGAACCTTTCTTTAACAGTATTTTCTTATATTGTCACAATATCTAACCTTTTTATTTAAACCTCCTGCCCATCACCACCATCCAATTCAAACACAACACATTAACATTTCAAGAGCTCAACATACAATCACAAACGTAAACAACGCTTTTGTATAAATAAACCCAAAAATGTGGAGATCGTCCTTGTGCTCTTTGACTCTCCTTCTTATCAAAATCCAACCATATATATAAAGAGAGAGAGAGAGAGAGAGATTGATTTGGAATCACGTGAGACTAGTCTGTTTTTATGAGACCTGTGAGACCATTTTTTTTTACACTTGAAACTTCACAGCAAAACGCTGTGAAGCTGTGAAAGTAAACTTCACAGTGTTTTTGCTGTGAAAATTCGATTTTTTTTACCTTCGCAGTGTTTTGCTGTGAAGTTTCAAATGTAGAAAAGTGATCTCATGAAAACATACTAGTTTCATGTGAACCCAACCTTATGTATATATATGTATGTATATATATATATATATATATATATATATATAAAGATAGAGAGAGATAGAGAGAGGAGACTTGGGATCACATGAGACTAACATGTTTTTGTGAGACCCGTGAGACAATGTTTTTACACTTGATACTTCACAGTGTTTTTGCTATGAAGGTTCGGCTTTTTTCTTACCTTCACAGCGTTTTGCTGTGAATTTTCAAGTGTAAAAAAGTTGTCTCACGGGTTCCACGAAAACAGGCTGGTCTTACGTGAACCCAACTCTCTATATAGATATATATTATATACTAATATAAAATTGACCAATAGTAAAAAGACCATATTACCCATGAGATAACATATATTATTTAATAGAGTTACGGGCAATGATGAGATGACCCTCCTTCGTTTTTATTTCGATTTACATAGACCACAAATGTAATTCACTCATTGATAGATATCTTGTTGAAAACTCATTATCAGAACCAAATAGATTTTGGTTTTTTCGATCTTGCCTATAAATTGGAACCTGTTGATTTAGTGACTGATTGATATCTTTAGACTTTTTTTAATAAATAAATCATTAAACTTTCTCATTTTGAAGCTTCTTTTTTGTATTTATACATAAAGAGAGTACCTAATTTCTCCATTTAAATGTAATCTCTAAGAAAAAAGAAATAAGTAAGCCATAAGGGTGGTGCATGATTGGTTTGAACTTGAGTTTCAAACGTCAAAAGTGTCTGGAGATCCCAGGTTCAAATTTAAGGAGGAATAAAAACCCCATTGTGGCCACAGCCACAGAGGTTCAAATGTGGATGACTCCGAGCTACACGCAAAACAGGTGGTCGTTCTGTGATTAATCGGTTCGTATAACGGGTTGGATATCCACGTTATAAAAAATAGTTACATTATGCTTTAAAATTGTATATTTTCCACGTTAAAATACACGTGGATTTATCGATAATTAAATATCAAATATACCTATTAATAAATAAATAAATGAAAGAAAAAGATGTGGATGATAATGAAATACTGTACAAGGTTTTTTTTAGAAACGTGTCAATTATCCGTAAGACACATCCTCTTTTGAATCTTGTCAAAATTTATAAATATTTATACTATGTTATAAAGCATTTGATAAAAATTCTTAAAAATTATTTTTTATGTATGAATTATTGTATATTGATGTATATTACTTAAATTCAAGATTACAAGTAAATTATGCATAAATACAACTTATTAAAGCTCCATGTTTGAATTCGTGTAACTAACTACGGATAAATATAAACAAATAAAGAATAAACATCTCATTTTAAAATATAAAAAATCTAAAAGGATAATTATCGAGTTCTAATAAAATAATTAATTAATATATTTATAAGAAAATTATATTATTAAACCAAATATAAATTAGTTCGTTATTAAACCTATATTAAATTATAATAAAAAAAATTGAATTAAAAATTTGTAAAAAAAAAAAGAATTTTAAATAGTTGATTTGATACTAATATCGATATAATTTTGTCAAATTTTTATGATATCTTCAAATTTATATTTTATTCAAAAATAAAAACATTATCATTTTTTTAAAATCACATAAAACCATACTATAACATCGACTGAGATAAAAAATAAAATGAAATATTAAAATCAAGATGTATCTCGCTGTATCGTGCGAGTACCCTTCTAGTCTTCTTTAATAAATGGAATCGACACGTTTTTTAATTCACTACCGAACAATCATGTATAGTTGACAGAATAAATTGTAAGTCTCATTAAGTTCATTAAGCTGCTAACCAACGGTTTTTAACAAACCATTAAGGGGGTGTTCGGGATTGCTTATTTAAAACAACTTATGTTTTTTTTTTGTAAAAATGCTTATTAACTTATGTGGTATCAAACCGGAGTTTTGTAAAAAATGTTTGGATTAGCTTTTAGTGGTACCAAAAAGCAATAAGCTGATATGTTGTTTTTTTAGTGTTTGACAAATTTTGCTTATATATGTAAAATAAAAAATAAAAAAAAAACAGTCTTTCATATTATTGACTTATGAGAGTGTTTGAGATTGCTTATTAACTTATTTCATTTTTTAACATGTAAAAATTTATTTTTCATCATTTATAATAATATCTTTGACAAAAATTTATATCAATAAGATTAATAATTAACAAACATTTATACCAATATTATTACTAATTTCAAACAAATATAATATATTTGTACAACTAAAGAATATTATATCGTCATTTATAATGTGATATTTTTATAACCAAAATATCAATAACAAAAAAATAGATCGTCATTTATAATAAATATTTATCTGGCTCCACTTATTAGATCTCCGCTAACAAAAACCTAGTATATAAATAAAAGAAGGAAAACCCACAAACTGGTAAAAATTAAGGGTTTAAGGTGAGTATCGAATTCTATTATTCTGTTTGGAGGAATCGATTTCTGGAGGAAGAAATCGATATCTGGAGGAAGGGATATCGATGGAAGGTCTGGAGGGGATGTATGGATATCGACGGAAGGTATCTATATCAATGGCAGGTGGGATAT